CATTGATATATTTAAAGAAACTGCTGATAAAGGAAATTCTTCCGCTCAATTAAGATATGGAATGCATTTATGGCAAAAGGAAAATAATTATATCGAAGCTTTTAAATATTTAAAGAATTCAGCTAATTCAAAAGATCCAGCAGCCATGTTTATCGTTGGAAAAGCTTATTGGAATGGTATCAATGGTATTGTACAAGATAAGGCACTAGGTGCCCAATATTTAAAAAGTGCTGCCGCGGAAGCTCATCCTAAGGCCAAAAACTTTTGCGATGAACAAGGCATACTTATATAAAAGCCTTTTTTATATTTATCTATTTAAATTTTTATTTTATTTTAATTATATAAATAAATATTATCAATCACTTTACAGGTTTTTATTTTTCTGTTTGTGTTTTAATTAACAGTGATCTCGAATATAAATCCAATCGATCTGGAATATTACAAAGATAAAATATATTGAACCGATATTAGTGATTATCAAAGTTAGATATCCTCAGGATAATCTTAATTCATTACGACGCACTTTATTTATTTATTTATTTATTTTCATAAGCATAAACATCAAACAACATAAATTACGCCAAATCTTGCAACGTCTCGAAACACGCCACGACTATTCATTTTTCAAATCGCTGACGTGATGAATATGTAATAATAGTCTTATTATCACTCTTTAAGGAAAAAAAGTTTTGTCAAATATAACACGTCATTATAAAAGATGATTTTAATCAAATTAAAAAAAACACAAATAATTTTGATAGAAGAAATTTTTTGCACTGCTTATAATATAACAAAGAAAAGAAAAATTACCCATTAACATTAATTGACCATTTCTTTATAAAGAACCGGAAAAGAATCTGTGCAAAATATTTCGGAGACTAGGTAATCATTTCTTGATGTTTATCTGTATTTTTTGCTTCCACAAACAATGTAAATGGGAAGATGGTTTATCCATTTCAGGATATTGCACTAACTGATCTATTTGGCGACTAACTCGGGAACATTTTGTTTTAAGACGGAACTTATAATGCTAAGATATACTGTACTCCTATCATCATTGTTAAATATATTTAAACATAAAAACCATTTATAGTGGGAAGGCCAGGTACGAAATTAGAACTAAAATAATAGACAAATCTCTCCCGCCATCCAAATATCCATCGTTCTCGCCATTACCTTCGAATTTATATTCTTCACATCTTATTACACAAGAAATTACTTCAGACGGCGACAGCGAATTATCGAATTGATGAGTTTGGAAGTTGAATGTGAAGGTGAGCCCGGAGCGTCCGATTATTTCGATATAATCATCATGGTCCAAATATCGCATTTGAATGTTATTTACCTTTCCAAGCGGTGCGCTTATTTGTGTGTTACCAGGAAAATAAATATTCAGAATATTATTTAGAACAACCAAAAGTAGTATTAAATCTTAAGTGCGTGTGCAATTTCCTTATTAAGATTTTGTTTTTTTAATTATTAGATAGTGATACAAATTTAAGATGCTTTTAAAAAATGTTCGTTATATTTAAAAGCGAGCAATAGTTTATATATTTCTAACGTTATTTTTTTTCGTTTGATGTTTTATAGGATATCGTTTTACTATGCTTTTATTTAAAAATAACATCAATCGAAACAGGCAACGACCAATAATTAATTAAAGGCGCATAAATTTTATTTTTTGAAAAAAAAAAAAAAATTAAAAAAATCATTTATGGTCACAAGATCCCAGGGATTCTTGTCAAATTGTCTCATTTTTATGGTATATGGAAGTTTTTGTAACATAATTAATGGTAAAGATACCTAACAAAATTTTGTACATTAATTCATTTTTTTTCTCTTAAAAAAAAAAAAATAAATAACAATAATTAGTGTTGAAAACAGGTGATATTGATAAATACTCTTGATTAAAATCATTGTAGCGAATTATAAAAAAAACATTAAGATGAACATAACCTATGCTCAATAATCGAAAATAAAATCTATTAAAAACCCACACAAGAAATTCTTAATCACACCATCAACCTTATATTTATCAATAATTTTCGTATATTTTTCTTCTTTATAATCATGATCTGGTGCAAGGATAGTAATTGCAGGTCGACCTTTCCAACCCTCTGAAAATTCCTCTAGAGTTTTAGGTGAAAATTTAAATTGATAAAAAATTCCAATTTCTCTCAGACTTTTTGGTGCAGACCTAACCAATGCATGTGATAATTTTTCCCCAGACATAAACCTCTTTTTTGCACATAAACTTTCGGTTTCTAATAATAACACTTTTAATCTTTGACAAGTTTGTAATAATATTTCAAATTCGGAAAAATGTTGATTTGATGGTGAAAATATGAGGGACAAATATTCAACTAGAGGACAATTCTCATAAATTGTCCGAATAAGGATTAGAGTGTTTTCATAAAACTTGTCCTCATAAATATCATATTCATTGATTAAAATTTTCCTGAGACGACCTCCGCTGCTCTTAATTATACAGGTAATTGTGTCAATCAAAATATAACCTATTTGAAGCACCTCAAGGTTATGATATTTATAATCAAATGGACCATAACAAGAAGGATAAATTTTTAATGTTTTTAAATTGTAAAATTTTGAAATTATCTCTTGTAGGTGACCATCTTCATAACTGTATTCCGAGTAATCATTAAAATGTGTTACAAGTTGAATTAGGGTATCAGCCTTGTTCGATAGTTCCAGAAAAGTGCCTATATATACATCTTTAATAGGATAATAATCCAAGTTACTCAAATCATCTTTCCATTCAAAATATTTCAGATTCTTTTGATTTTCAATCAACTTGACAATTCCATTATTTGCTTCCAAGTTTGTATTGACAATAACGAGCCTTTGTATTGATTTACATATGCGAGACAATCCATAAAAGTACGTTGAGTCAACCGTTGTGTCGCATTTTAATTCACAGAGTGGCTCGAGACGAACCTTTGCCCCGGGAAAGTAAAATAATTGATGTTTAATCGATCTCATGTCAAAGAACTTTATCTCTTGACATTTCCTCATAAAGAGACTGTAAATTTCTTCTTGTAAAAGAAATTGATTAAAAATCGAAAATCCACCAATAGAGATTATATCGTTTATGACGGTGACATTGATACTCCTGCAATAAGATAAATAATCAAATAAATGTGAAATTGAAGGCAAGTGCATCCCTTGACTTTTTAGAGATTCTTTAATATCATCGGATAAAGAGCAAGTGATAATGTTGTACAAGGAATTTTTGCTTTGATAATTCACATTATCTTCGTAACGCCAAGGATTCCTCCATAAAATCGGAACCGAAGTCTCACACCAAAGTCTATTTACTAATAAACATTGAAAGAGTGATTTCGAATCATCTTGTAATTCCTCAAATAATAAGAAAAGAATATCTTTATTCAGTTTGGACATTATTTTTTCCCCCGTAATTTATGGTATAATTTTCCGCAGTATTTAAATATATTACGCCAGTATTAAAAAGGCAAAAAAAAAAAAGTGGAAATTACTCTTATTTATACGTTTTTAAATAAATTAGCCAATTTTGTGATCAGATCATGTATGATAATCCTTCCTTTAGTTGTCATGATTATGTCATTTAGTTTGTAAATTACTATTCAGTAAATCTATATAATTAATTTTAAATTTTTCGCTAGATAAATTTATATTCTGCTCTGCTCGCTTAGCCAAAATTAAATTGTGATTTTAAGCAAATCGCCTATTCCCAATTTAATTCTTTTTAAGCGCATATTTTTTTTATTATTCAATAAATGGGACAACTACTAAAAAAAATATTTTTTGTCGTTTTTCTGACAGTTTCTCCTTTTCTACTACAAATTACCCAATTAATTCGCTGAAAAAAAATAATAAACCTTTCGGGCCTTTTGCGTTATTGTACAATTTGTTCTCGATTTAAATTTCCTAAATAAATTATGCACGTCCTCTCCAAATTTCAGAAACTTCGAGTGGACAAAGGTGCGTGAATTTGTTTTTTTTTTGTATAGAAGTGTTTTATATTATCTCCTTGAGAATTCCGCAAAGACTAGGAATCGAAAGTGTTTCATCTGGTAATTACAAACTTCTGAACGTCTTCCTTCGTAAGTTCCTCCATTTCACGATTGAAAGGCGGGGTAGGTTATTTTATTTTTTTAAGCCTTCTAAGCTATAAGTTTTCTTCATGAGCGCTTCAAAGAAAACGCTGATTGGTTATTAAAAGTCATTGAACCACCTGGTTCCGATAAAGGTCGAAGGTTCGAGATTAACCTTGAAGTTTGGTTTTGGATAATGTAGAAAGCATATATTTTTAAATAAAATAATATCTAATAATAAATTATAACTTGAAGACAAATTCACGAAATATTTTACTATGAAAACTTGAACAAATGCAAGGACTTTAAGAAAAAATATATTTCGCGCTTTTTTTTTTTTTTTTTTTTTTTGTTAGTACACTCCCGAGAGCTACACCCTCTCCAATTTAAAGTTTCCAATTTTACCAGGATAAGTATAATTTTTCTTAGATATTCGCAATAGGAAAGGAGGAAACTGCTGGGAAGAGAAAAAAAATGAGTTGATGTCTAAAAAATGCTAAATTTATGACAATTTGTCTTCGGATGCATACTTGCATACAAATAATTTTGATAATTGACAACTAAGAAATGAGCAGCTGTGCAGTTTTTGAACAGTTCAATGATACAAATTCTATATTAGATAAACTAGTACGTAGCTAAAAATGTTCAACAAAGAGAAGAAACAAGTGCACAAAGTAGTAAGGTTACGACACTCTTTACAATTTCATGTTTATACGGCAGCGTTCAAAATTTATTCCGTCGTTATCACTGGCTTGTTGGCCAAAATTGTTGAATATATTGTTACACTGAATGTAATTTCGCCATAATTCCGCTTTCGATATTTGCAGTTAGTCTTTTGAAGATCATTTTCCAGGTTCCCCTTTAACCTCTTCGTGATATTTTCGTTTTCGCCGTTTAACATTTTAGATTTCGTATTTTGTAACTTCGTTTATTTTTAATTTCCTATTTTCTTATTATTTTATTATTCAATTTTATTTGTAATTGTTTCTTAATTTCGCAGTTTTTAATTAATTAGAGTTTTATTGATTGGATTTATTTAGTTTAATATACTGACATTGCGAAAGTGTAGAGCGTCAGACGTTGAGGCAACACTGATTAATTTGATATTATTAAATAAATATTTTGTCATTATTCCTCAATAAAAACCTTCTGCTTGCTTACAAAATTTGTTTATAAATACATAAATGAAAGAACTGAATACAACAATCTCATAAACTGCAGTACTCGTTTATTATGCTAGATCCTGCATATGTATGCACATTTGTTTGTTTTTATTATTCAGGTCAAATAATTGAATTCTTTTTCCTGTTTCCTCCAAATATTTTTTCTCATAACGAATATGGCAAGCGCGGCTGAACTAATGCAAATTGTGCCATTCTTTCTAAAACAACTGAAATGGGAGTTCATTTGCATTGTCTTATTAACTGAAAAAGAATAAATGTGCAGAATTCATGAATTTAGGGTGTTACCATATCCAATTTGTAATTTTACTTTACTAATAATAAAGTTTTTGCAAAGCTACCGCACGTTAAAATTAAAAAAATGGTGTTACCATATCCATACATAGTTAAATTTTTTTGTCAAACGTCATACAGATTTATTTCGACAATTAATTAAAGTAATTTTATAATGATAAATAGGAATTCCTTTTTAGAATAAAGACCTAAAAACGTCGATACAAAGATTAGTCTAAAATTCAATTTAACGCGGTTTTTTTTATAAAAATTTTAATTTTTTTTTTTTCATAAAAAAACAAAAATAATAATAAATTCTTTACTTTATTATTTATAAAAATGAATTTCTCAAATAATCCTCAAATCAATACAATAGTATTTCTAATATTTATTCTAATTCTTTGTTTTCCCAATTCTATAGCAGAATTTATCTACACCGAATCTAACCAAACAGAGGCATCAAAACTCGAAACCTACAAAGACCGAACTATTTTAGTTCGTGTTGTCAAGCAAATTGGCAACGGGTGCCGAGAGCCAGAATTAAGGTTGAGGATTATATATGAAAATGGCACAGTAACACCATTAAATATCAGTCAAGAAGAATTAGGCATACCTGTGTGGAATTTCTGCAGGTAACTTGAGGAACATGATTTTAAAATAATATTTTTCTTTACAAAACATAAAGCGTTTGAATTGTTAATTTATTTTGTCATAGGGTTGAAATGGGATATCACAGGATTAAAGGGAGCTACGCTTTAAGGATTTACAGCTGGATTCCCAATTATGTACTCATAACGTATATGAATGGGACAAGTTATAACGATCAAGAAAATATGTCTGTTTTTGCCAAATTAATCTCCTGGTCTGGTAAGGTTATAGGGTAATTAATAAATAGAAATCTAGTTATTATCATTTTGAGAATAAAAAAAAAAAATTCATTCAAAAAAATTTAAATATCTTTAGTGATGAATACGTTGGGCCAGCTTACATCGTCAATGGAATAATTCAATACCCCATTGAAACACATTTCGATCGAGTGCAACCTGAAAGAGGATTTTTCTATGCTGACTTCTTAAGTGGAACAAACTTTATATATTGGGTACACTTTAGCGCACCGTAAGTATCATTGCAAGTGGCGCAGTAAAATCATTTAAATTGTAATTAATAAATCTTGATGTTATTAATAGGGATGAAAACGGGATCATTACCCGTCTTAAAGATGGTACTATTACATTAAAAAATATGTTATATGGAAGTTTCTTCTACACAATTCCCACATTAGGCGGTGGTGATTTTGGAATTGTTATTGTAAATTCCACAATATCCTATGAAATTCCCGTCGATGACAACCTTGACCCTCTACACAAACAACTACAAACATACGCCATCTTCATTTCTTCAACAAATTACGAACAACGTGGTCCCTATTTACTGCATAATTTTGGAGCTACCCCTGCTTTATCACTAAGAGAACTTACTTGTGGAATCGACTATTACGAGTTGAAGTATAATTGCTTCCTAGTGGTGAGAACTAATCTCACCGAAAGGAGCCATTTTCTTACGAAAATTACGTTCACTGTTGACGGGTATTTTGGATTTGATTAAATTTCTTACTTTTTTTCCTAAAAATAAAAAGAATTAATGTATTTTTCGTTATTAATAAATTTATTAGTTCAAAAACATTTGACCAAACTTACGAAAATGTAAGGACAAATGTGTTATGCCAATATAAGTAAACGTAAATCTTACTTTTATTTTCTTTTATAGAATGAAATAAACTCGCTGGACGTACACGAAATATATATGGAGAGTTTGTATTATGGAGGTAAGTTTATTATAAAATTACGTTTTATTTACTTATTTCATTTAACTTAATTTCAAAGTTTAATCATTTTAGGATATCTCTTAATCCTCCATCGATACAATGAGCTCAACGATCAAGTTGAAGAACTGAATGGTTACATATTTGATATGTCGGCAAACCTACATGGACCTTGGCCATTTGGTAATCCAATAATAAAACCAGCCTTAGGAAGACGTAACGGAGTGTTGTTTACAAATAATACTTTGGTCACGCTTAATCAAAATTTAAACGATTCAACTTGGTCAATAAAATCAAAACCTTTAACGAATTTCGTTGAACTTGGTAACTATTTATCGAAATATTGTTATTTGCATACAATGATAATATTAAGTTTTCAATCCTCATTTTTTTTATTTTTTTTTAATTAGTACCGTATAAGAATCCGAACATTGTTTCCACAGATCCTCCAAATAATGATCCTAAAACTCCTCTAAGAAAAGCAAACATTACGATTTTTTTCAAAAACGAGATCGTTTTATCGAATGGAAACATTACGATCTTTCAATATCAAGATTCAGAATTGGTTCTGAAACAAAGTCATCCCGGATTACATCCAAATTGCATTCTTGGAGATGACCATAAATCGGTTACTATCAAAATGCTTGATTCGAATTTCAATATACCAAGCGCAACGTATACTGTGGAACTTTCTCACGAATTTTTTGTGGATAAGCTAACTCGGCTAGCTCCTTTAGGACTACAGGCAGGAGATTGGATTTTCACTACTGGTAACACGAATTTATGATCACGTATTTATTTAAGATATTTTATGGCTTATTTAATTAATCTGAAAAATATTAATAATTTTGAAAGAAATTAAGTTGGAAGAATACCCAGATTCTCTTAAAGTTGTTCTTGGACTAACAGAAGACGCTTCTATTTATTTCAAGAATTTAACTAAGAAGGATAAAGTCGCATTTTTAAATCAAATGTCAATAGATTTAACAGAAACTATTCCGATAGAACCAACGCGATTCATTCCAATTCAAGAAACTCAAAATCATGATCGGTGTAATAAAGTTCTTATTTCTATTAGGATTCGACAACGAGATGATCCATTTAAATTAAATGGAAGAACGATTATCAAGGACTTGGATACCCTGATTAAAAATAAAGATATTACAGGAATATCTCGTTTTGAATCAAGTAATATGCTTGATGAAAATTTTGGTAGTGCTACCGGAAGTAAGTTAATTTAACGAGATAATTTTTAAAAAAATTAAAATTTATTTACTTTATTTTATTATTAGAATCTTTTTCTGGAAGTTATGAAGTTGAAGTCGGATTTTTCGCAGCTTTTTTTATTATTGTCTTAATCCTTCACATTTGTGCATATAGTCTCGAAATTTGGGGGGTAATTAAACAATTATTGAACTTTTTTTCAGTAAAACAATATTATAAATTAATTCTTTAATAAATCATATAGAATCGTGGACAAAATTTTATAGCGTTTAAAACTTCTTTGGCAACAGTAGATATTATATTCGATGTATGGTTTATTGCAAAATATAGTTGTGATATTTATGCTATTTTTGTTGCAAGGTAATAAAAATTAATTATGAAATTTAAATTATTTTATATATTCAATTTATAATTATCCTTATTATCGATTTTCTTTATTGTTTTTAGCATTATAATCCTTGTTTGTTCTTGGACAATTAATTTCATGTGTGCATGTATAATAGTACGTGATCTGCCCCCAGGTTTAAATCGAGTTAAATGCACGCTTGGATTTATCATTGACGTTGAATCCATAAAACTTCAATATGGAAATTGGAATAATATTACAAATAAGTATACTAAATACAGTTATTGGTATAAATTTATACTACAAGATTTATCGCAATTAATAATTCAGGTATACATGTATGTATATTATTTTTAAATTTACATAAACTTAAGATTAATTAATTTTTTTTTTTATAGATTTTGTACCTAAAATCTATAATAATATACAACGCTTTGATATTTATTTCAATAACTCTCAATATTCTTTTGATTTTCATTAGTATTTTATTGAGATTCTTATAAAAATCTTCCCATTTTTTTTTACTATACAGTATATTTAAATCACGTCATCTAGTATTTAAATATGTAAATTTATTAGGTAGAGAAATTTATTAAACAAAAAAAAATTGATTGTGTAACTTAAAATGTGTAAGATACTTTTGAGTTTAGGAAACCATGGTAAGTTTAACCAATAAATAATAATAAAGCTTGAATCTTAAAATACCTTTCAATCACATGAAATACTTTTATAATAGATGAATATGAAGAATTCTATTGGATTTAGTGATTTAACTTAAATTAACTAAGCATTTTTATTCTTTAGATAAAATACATTATAAAATTTAATATAAAAGAATGCAAAAAAAGCTGGTAATATATTGCCTAACTTTATTTGGTAAAGTTTAATTTACCAAATAATTTTTTATGATCATACATATTAAAAATTTAAATAAATCTATTTTCAAATATAAATTAGATGTTTTAGTCATTTTATAGCTTATGGCTTTATACTTTATAATTAATGCTATACATATATAGAAAGATTTCTAAGTAATCAAATTTTATAAAATTTTAATTAAATCAAGAGTTTAATCTAAAAATCTAAAATGTAATAAAAATTGAAATTTTATTAAAACATTTTCAGAATCTGATTTTTTTAGTAATTAACCTATATTCTTTATACTTTATACTATTAATTAGCTTAATAAATAGTAAAAATAATTTTATTTTAAAATACTTATTTGATGTTAATTGTAAAATGATATTATTTGAAAATCAATAAAAAAATTTATTATATAACTAAGATGACAAATATAATA